CATGGTCCCAGTAGAACATAAGGTTGACGGGAACTCGGGGACTGCGTCTACCTGATGAGCCCCAAGAAGAGCGAAACCGGTCGTGGGCTGTCGACGAATTTTTGGGCAACCTTGTGAGTAATATCCTTCATTGTCCACCGGTTCATTGAACACGGAATCTAAAAGAGGTGGGTGTTTTTAATACTGCAACGTGGATTTCACCAATTCTGAGGGGTTTTTTCCTCTCAGGCACACCTTACCTCTTCAGACCTGATTGATTCACGCTTTTGCCTGGGTACACACTTCTTGTTAAATAAGAGACAGCATTCAGAATACAGACGGTTAAAAAACACATATGTGTTCCTTACCTGCCCTCTCTTGGTTGGGTGCGATTTCTAGAAGAACATTGGGGGTTGTTCTCTTACTTGTCACGTATAGTTGACGGCCGGTTTGAAGATATGTTACGCCAGGATGGTAATCCATCCAAATATCCAGTTTGCATTTTGAAAGCCTCTCTGAAACACACTCACTGAAATAAACCTCCCTCTTGTTATGGTTCAAAACGTAGGGGGCATCGAGGAAGAATAGGTATACTCTCCAGATCTTGCTTGGGAGTGGTTCATGATGCAAAGCCAGTCAGATCTTGCTTGCCCCACCACTGATACCTCACACTTACAATTCAGACATAAAGCTTTAATATCGCCTTGTGAAGTTTCGAAAAGCTCGCTTCTCTTCGATAAGATGATCTACTAAGAATGGGTTACGACAGGGAACGGCCATTCCTAGGGAGTGGCTATGCTTGGGATGTATTCCGCACCAAATCATAGCTGATAGGAATGGTAGATTAGCTTCTATTTTTGGAAGCTGTTCCTTCTGGAGACTGCTCTCTCCCTCTCTCTCTCTCTATTTCGGCTTATTTCTTATGAGGATTTCTCATCTTTCGCGGGGGTTATAACTAGAGCCGATTACTTTTCATCCTAATGATTGGGACATTTTGAGGACTCGGCTCTCTTCACCTTGTTCCGTTCCGTGGAACGGGACAGCAGCGACATATTCAGATTTTTTTCCACTAGGACAGTAGCCCGTGTGGTTCATGGCTGGCTGATCAGCAATGTGACACACTCGAACTGGAATAAGATTCACCTCTAAGTCGAATAATCCTTGTCACGTTCCCTTATGTCAGTCAGGTTTTTTAGGGGGACCTCGATGATTTGTGCTCTTTTTAATTAGCTTGATATTTAAGTGCAAATTTCATCGAGAAAGTGGATTCAGTCTACTAGAAATTCATCAGCACTGCGCATCGCATAAATCTCCGGGTTCGAATCTGTAATGTCGGGGACAAACACTTTACCACTCGCTTGTGACAATGAGCACTACTCTCCAGCTTATAAACGAGAGATTTAGCTGCCTGGTGATATCATCTGTAACACTCTTTAGATTTCAAGCGGAGAATAATCCTTATGGAAACTTGGGGAATAAACCCATTTGATAAGCCCCAAGAAGAGTGAAACCGGTAGTGGGATGTTACTGACAAACTTTAAGTACTATTGTGTCTACCACTCGTTTCGTATTAATTTCTCCCTCCCAAAGTGACAAGCAGATGTTTCTTATGGAGTAATGCTAAATTTCAATGCTAGTACGGTTGAATTACGTACGTAAATACACGCCACACGAGTCGCTATGCTTCGGTTTTATTGACGAATGAGTAGACGGCATTCAGCCACGTATACGTGCATAAATCGTTGCCGGTGTTGCGCACAGGTTCAATACAGTGTTCTCCAGTTGCTAGGTGGTAGGGCTTCGTATGTCTAATCTTCATTCGTCGTTCCATTAGCTTGACTTGTTCCAACTGAAGGGCACGATGTCTGGTCTGGCGTTATCGCCCTTCTGGTCCGCACATAGTACACAGTAGCCGTGATTGGGGAAAGTTGCAGACTATCAATTAACCACGATATCGACCTAGTCGCCGCCGTTTCAAACTGGTCTGTGCATGTTCACGGCTCTGAAACATCTGCCAGTCGTCAATTGATCTATCACGCTGTTAAGATGAATGACCTTGGGATGTGTAGCCGAGCTAAGTGCACCAACATCTACACGTTTCGGAGTCAGCTGTTCCAGTGAGTGAATTGGGGGAGTGTAGTTATGAGTTACCAGTTCGGCACAACTATGCAAGTTGGAAAACAGTCTAACATCAGTGCTTGACTGCAAAGAATTGGTTAGGGTGAACATAAATGGGGACAACCAACCAGAAACGATTCCCCTGAAATATACACAAAACCAAGGCATTCTCGTTTCGTGTACGACAGCCGCGTAAATTTGTCAAAACGTCTGTTCTGAAACCAAGAGACTGGGGTCAGCACTGGTTTGTTTCCGAGCCGTTTTGTTGCAACTAAGGTTCGCTCAAGTTAGGTTGGCGAACCTAGAACAGCGCTCAAGACTAGTCTCACATCACGATAAAGTCAGTTGTCATGGGATCACGTCACCCAAAACAAGGATTGGTTTCAAACGGAGTCTGACGATATCCGACACTACTTACGACAATATTGATCTAGTGGAATACGTTAGTTTGTCGCAAACCTCAGCGATATCAGCGATTCGAAACAGGTGGGCCTGTTCACGCACGCACCTGAACGTGTTTTCAGGCCAACAATGAATGGTAGTCTTTCATAGCAGGCGACCCGGGTAAGAAGGCGAAACATCATACCGGTCGGTTAATAATACCCGTCTTTGAGATTCAAGAGCCGGTTCGTTGGATAAAGACTTGAAATAAGCATCAAGAAAAAGCATTCAGTCATCTTCACACTGGTTTCGAGGCCTTCAGCGCCTGGCCTCCTGTCTGATTCACAAGACAAGGCAACGAAGCTGCTTGGTGCAACCGATCGAAACGAAATTTGAGATACATATTCACAGCCGACTTTGGTACAAGGTCATGAAAGTCTAACTTCAGGAAGAAAAATCTGGCAAAATTTCATCCGAAGCATCATGCCGCTGCCAGCAGTCTTGAAGCTAATAAAAACTGGTGTGGCAATTTTCAGACATCACTGTCTGGAAGGCCTTCTTGGTAGGTAGGTCGACGCAATCAGGACAGTCACTTTTCTAGTCCTTGGGCAACCAACCAAAGGCGGGAATAGACTCGCTTGGGAACTCAAAACTCGCCCACTATAATAATGCGATGTCCCCTGTGTGTTGTGTTTGGCCGACTGCTAGGATTTCGAGTTATTTTTACCCCATAACTGGCCCTAGGACGTTGTTCAATAACAACCCATAGACAGTTTCAACACACTGCTGGACAGAGTAGTAAATTCATTGATGCTCAGCAAAAAAAAGTCCAAAAACCAACAGTCCTGGGATTTTTCAGTGTTCCCAATACACAATAAACCCCGAAAAAACAGAATAAAACAAGCGATCTCAAAGTGCATTCCGAGAATTACTTGTAGCCACTGCCGTTACTCCTACCGTATTCTTCCTAATGAGGGATGAAATTACTTCAGAACTCTAACCGCATCTACCTTTTTAAAAGAAGTGACATATTTCTGGCTACTGGTCAGCGGTATCCTAAACAAATCGCTGGTACTGAAACGGTTAGTATCAGTTTCACTTTGGTCCTCTCGTTCCGGCGTGCAGTTCATCGCACCCCTCTTTAAGTCAGCTAGACCGCATTCTGGCATTCGGTCCACATTCACCCTAAACCACACTGTCTACGTTCAAAACGCAATGGAACTTTCATGTTTGTTTTTCGCGTGACTCCAAACAGAACGCTCCACGGAACACTAGCCCTCCTGAGATGTACCGGTACGGTGAATGCCCCCCCCCCTTCGTTCTGAGAGTCATTCTGTGAAAAGCTTCTGGTGGATGCTAGCCCTAAGGTGTTTCTAATGAGCAGAATGGGTATAAATCACAAGGAGGCGAATACAAGAAAGTCTTGACTCACAGTTCACACAAGAGGAGATTCCAAAGATCCGTATTCCGTTGAGCCACCAAACCACGAAGCGAAGGTTCTATTTCAGCCTCCCTTAGGTGCATTATAAACCCACTAATGTGGATTTTTGTCCATGATAGAAATTAGTGGTAGCCAGAATCGTTCCAACTCAATCAGAACAAGTGATTCAACAAAGAGGCGCAAAGTTTTGTTGAGCGTTTACTTTATTAAAACAAACTTTGTACAATAATATGGACAGGGAGAGAAGAGATGAAACTGAGTGGGGAAAATGGCAGTGTTACTAGCCTATTTTCACAACTCATCTATCCTGGTACGGGTTTTTTCTGTTTTTCCAAAAGGAAGTAGAAGGCGCTCGAGTTCTGTTTTCCTCAGTGGTACATTGGCGGGATTTGAACCCGAAACGTCGGACACGCGAAGTGGTGGAGTTACCACCAGCAATCCACGTATGACACTGCTGAGGTGCCACGTCTGGATGTGATTCGATTGTGTTTACTGTAAGATACTTGTGTATGTGCAACTCATGGTTGTATGTGGGCTGGGATACTGCCAGGACGCCCACACCTACCAATGCGGGAAAACATCCAGCATCATCGACTGCGATGGCTCGGTCATGTGCTACGCATGCCGAAACACCGTCTACCGAGACGAGTGTTGTTCTCCGTGCCTCCTTCAGGTTGGCGCAAACCGCGTGGTGGACAACGTATGACTTGGCAGAAATGCGTGAAAAAGATCACGAAAATATGGATGCTGTTGGTGTTGTACGCCTTCCAGAGTGGGGTCCCTGGGACCCCGTCTGTGCTTGGCTGGAGACGTTGCAAGAAATGGCGCCTAATCGATGTCATTGGCGTTCGTGCTATCAGTTTCTTTCCAGATTGTCTGATTGAGCGGTTGGAGGTGTAGGCACCTCAGTATGCTTGACATAGGTCAGCACTAGGTCCCCTCCCTCACCCACTCTTTTTCTCTTCTCTTCTCTGTAGGGCTTTTAGTACAATAAGTTATCCTCCCAAGCTTTCCAGTATTTCCATATAACTGCTATTGTTCTTCTACGTACCCATTCCAGCCTCCAGTCTGGGGATGTACAATGCACCGCCAGACCACTGCATCAACCAGACTGCTCCAGATTGTTCTAGTCTGGTCATGCCTCAGTTCTGTCTCGCATATGATGTATGCACTACAGACCAGCGCATCAAGCAAGGACTGGGAACTATCCGAACAGCAGCACGGAGCAGATCCGATTGAAGACGAAACACTATCTAGACTGAGAATTGATCTAATCTATGGAATTACGGCAGACCATAAAGCGCTAATCACGTGTGAGGTGAATATTCTTGAAGACCCAAAGCACGATGGGGGAAGATCAACAGCCTCGTTGGATACCACGCCCATGAGTACAGTGTACTTGCTTTGTCCACAGGTAAGGGGCTTAGGACTCAAAATCACTGTATAGATGCTTCATGCTTGTTAGAAGGCGCTGGCAGCGCCTATCTCAAGAATCCTCAACGTGATTCGAACCCGCGACCTACTGGCTAGTATTTAACCACTACCATCCTGTCACGAATTGTTTATCAACAGTATGGCTAACTTATTCCTAGAGGTGACAGCTCTCGATCACCGGGTTCACATTACGTGATCCACTACCGACCAGCCCCGCAGGTATTGACACTGAATGGGAATTCTATGCAACTCGTGGAATTCCTCCACTTTTGAGCAGATTACCCATAACTCATTGTTAATAAGACATTTAAGGACTTAAGTCAAGATTCAATCTTTCAGGTAAAGGTAATCCTTGCTGAAAACCACGTTTAAGTTAGTCGAACAGGGCTAATTGTGCCATCCGCACCTGCAGAATGACACTGACTGTCGATCGGCTCAGTCCGCTTCATCCCTACCGTTGAGCTCTTTCAAGAGTTCATCATCAGACTAGATTGGAGGGTTTGTGAGAAAGTACAACGCATCTCACTGTACTTAACACCAAAAGAACACCGTATTTCGAGTGTCTTCGTTGTTCTGAGTGGAATGAGATCATGGAAGTGAAAGTTTATTGTGATTTTACCGTGTTTACCTATCACTAAACATTACTCATCTGACGTCATAGAGTTGTCATCATACCTATCTTATCGACTTTACCAAAAGCTAGTGTTTGGCCGGGTGAATCCTCGTGTAGAATGCGCTATTTAAAGTGACTCAGTAGTGAAACTTTTGAGACCAAGGAGGACTCCTTGCGCAGAGGTAAAACTTCACAAGAAAGCCACAAGAGAAACTCGTACACTGCTAAACCTTGTGTGGAAGGTTCACGAGAGTTACTACCACACTGACCTGCTGTAACTTTGAGCGGCACATGTTTCTTCAGGATTTCAGAAAATACGTTTGTTTTACTGTGAAGGCAACCAAGCCCGGAACATTGGGCATTTGTGATCGCACCATCAGCGGTGACCAAATTCAGTTTCTGCTAGTCGGCTCTGATATTCCGTTTGTTAATGGTCTAGTGTGGCTTGCAGATGCTTCGCTGTTCGTTTGATTGGGCTCAGTGGAAAAAACATCGTGGCATCTAGACATACCCAGTAAATAACGTTGCTGGTGCTTTTTACTTCACAAACTTGCCAGCGATCAGTATTGTTCTGATGCCGTCTTCTTGTTCAGGTCTCTTATGATTTGAAATACAGCCGCCATTCGTCTTTCGTTTCCCCGCACAGTCAGAATGACGGATTTCTTGCCGACATTGTGTGTGTGTGTGTGGATTTTAACGATTTTGCCGTTTTCCTCTTGGTTAAGGTCTGATAAAAGTGTTTCATTTGTCTAGATTTCTACCTCCATATGCTACATGGACTGCAAACCGAATTGTGTTCTCGGTGACCGAGGATGTAATGTACCCCAAGCAATATCCCAAGTGATCAACCGATGCGATTACAGACGAATTAATGCCACACGGCTATTGGTCGACTATGTGATCGATTTAGAGACTCTAAATAATACGGGCCAATGGAATTGCGCGTATCGAGGTCAACACGCGTCCAGGCCGTTGGAGTTGCGGGCCGTCGAACGAAGACCTGTGACAACCGCACGTGTTTCCACTCCAGCTCAAACTGGAATGAGCGTAACAACTGTGAATCCTCCAAAGTCATCGATACCCACAGGGGACGGTCTTAAGTCCCCCGGTAATCGCAAAGGTAAGCGCTGCTTTCACAGTTAATTACTGCTGAGATTCTGTTCACTGAATTAAGAATTTTTGACGAGAAAGTCTTCCACCATTTGCTCTGGTGAATTCAGTGTGGAAGCACAGTTAAGTCATACATTCCGATCCTGGTGTTGAACCGCTTCAAGCTTCAGTGAACACATTTGTGTGGGTGTGATTTCAGTTGTAGTTGAATCCGCTAGCTTCAGCAAATCAAACGGTGCTGACCAAAAAACAAAACAGGAGTTTCATGAAGGAGACTACTCACAATATTACTGAAAACTCTTCGACAGCCCATGACCCTGCTCATCAGGTAGGCGCAATTCCCAAGTTTCTGGCAATCTTATGTTCCAATCGAACCTAAATTGGACTGACTTTGACAAATACACTCATTTGCAAATCAATTTGG